AGAAGCGCCGCTTTCCGTAAATAAGTGCCTGTGTTGGAGCCGCAGAGACTTCAGACGTGAAGGACTTGTGGTAAACGTGAGCACGGGCAGCTGTGGCGGTGTCCGCCCTCACAGCTTCCCCAGCTGAGGTGCTGCCTTCACTCTTCTCAATGTGCTGTTCCCTCTCCGCAGCTTTGCTCACTTCACTGTGAGGACATCGCTTCTCAGTCGCTGCTGTGCCAGCTTTAGGATTAACAGAATTAAACACGCTCACTTTCTCAACTACTTAAGCTTTGGGCTTCTCCGTGTCCCTGTCCCCTCGGGCTCTGATCCCTGTGGCCCATCCATAATGCATTCATGTGTTCTTGCATTGAGACAGGACTGAATTAATTCCGTGTTTATACCTCCTATCTACAAATTGAAAGCAGAGGCTGTGGTGCTCCCAGCACCTCTGGAGCCGTGTGCAGGTCACCAAAAAATCTCTTTTGCCCAAATATTTCCACGCTCACAGCGTTGTGTGTGATGTGTAACCACAGCTGGGGTCTGCTGTCCCCACTGTGCCTTACACGGAACTCTTTGGCCAGCCCGTCTGAATAATTACCTACAACCGCTCCTCTGGAGTTAATGAGATGCCTCATTAACTTTGGGAGGTTGTGGAGATGATGGCTTGGTTGCCTTTGTCACAGTTTAGTACAAACACGATGCCAGCCTGTCTCTGTTTCCTCTTTCAGCTGCAGGGAACACGTGTATTGTAAAGCTTTAGATCCCCAAAGGAATTCTCTTTCAGCTTTCCAAACAGGATAGTGTTATTTGCTGTATAAAATACACCATTTCTCAAGAAAACAAAGGGCTTTGTTTGAAAAATGAGAGCTGGAAGTGATAAAAAATTCTCTTTCAAGTGACAGATTATGGCAATGCTGTTGATTGCTGAACTACATTGTTTGAGGCAGAGATCGGAATTCCAGTGCCATGAGACTTAAAAACTTTTGGAATAAATAACTTTTGGAATATGTTTCTAACACTCATTTCCCTCATCTTGGATTTGTGGCAAAACTTCTTGGCTCAAGTTTTCTTTTGTAAATCACACACTGCCCTTTTTTTACGCTGTATGTGTGAAAATCCCAAGGCCATTTTTTCCTACCTGTTTATAAGGAAAAGATACCTGTGTAGAGGGAAGTACATTGATCTGAACATCTTCAGAGCAATGTCTTCCAGAAACTTTCTCTGGGTATTTTAGCTACTCAGCACTCTGAATTATTTGTTGCATGCCAGGAGCCACTGTGGTGTTGCTCCATTATTGCTCCATATTTGATGTTATTAGGAAATTAGGTTAAACAGTTGTACTGCTCACAGATCTTTTTTAGCTGCTTCACTTTTCATATGAGCCCGAGTTAAGAAATCAATAAATCTGTCAGGGGAGGGGGTTTTATTTTCAGTGCTGTCTCCCATAATGTGACCAGAGGTGAGCAGACATGACAAATAATTGTAAAATTATTGAAACTTTAGTGTTAGATTATTCCTGGGAAAATTGGTCTGGAAGTCTGGATATTTAGAGTTTCTGAGTGGGAAGGCAGGACAGACACCTTTCCTAAAGGACCATGACAAATGGCATGCAGATAATAAATTCTCTTTATAAAGAGCAGCTCCTGTTGAAGTTTTTTCTTTTTGGGCTCTAAAATGATCCATAAATGGTCTGCATCCCCTGGGAGTCACTTGTAGTGTCACGGGCTCCTAATTCCTATTTAGCCAGGGTGTGGAAGAAAGGAAACATTTTAATTTGAACTGTAAAATGAAATGGGTGATTTGGGCCCCTTAGAAACTGATTGGATCTTAAGGTAATCAGTAGAAATTGCAGGTGATGGAAGTGAGCCCTGGACCAGGTTGTTACCCAGGTTGAATTTGAAATGAGCTAAGTGTTGTCACCTCTGCCTGAGGTCTCAGTTTGCTGCTGGCACCACCAGGGGAGCAGCTGGAGGACCATCACTTGGAAGTGTGTGCACATCTACACTCTAAAAAATAATCCCTTGGCCCAGCTCACGGTCCGTGTGGTGCAGGGATCTTATTCTTAGGGAAAGAGCAGTGGTAGGTTGTATAGAGGAGGAATATTACAAACAAAGCTCAGCAATGACTGTGGGACACATCAAAGTCCTTCTCAGAGGCTGCAGCTGGACTCAACTTTCATAATGCTGTCAGCAAAACAAACAGGAGCAATTTGGACTGAGGATGAGAGAGGAAAATTATTTCCCAGGCAGCTGTGCTGGTCCCTGCACCAGTGGCAGAACTTTTATTTTCATGTTATTTTTGCAGTAAGTGTGGGACTGACAGGCCTGAATGGAGCCCAGTGCTTTTGCATCCCAAAGGGAACTTGTCCTTTTGCAGGTTGAGATATTTATTGTCAGCTAATTTTGTGCAAAGCATTTGAGAATTGATGAACAATTTGATGAATTGTTCATCTGTGTCCTGTTCCTGTGTTTTCTTTGGTCACAGTGTGTTGGGGACAACAGACAGGCTGGATCTGGTGAGACTTAATTCCAGCAGCAAGTGTGGCAGTGAAAACAAAGGCAATTTGTCTCCTCACTTCCTGGTTTCCAACTGTTTGTTGTTGTTTCTCTTTCTGCTGCTTTTTCCTCCTTGACCTTGCAGGTGAAGATGGCTGCGGAGGGGAAGGGGAGGCGGCGGGAGGAGGCCGAGCCCGGCGGGCAGAGGGAGCCGGGCGCTGGCCTGGCCCGGAGGCTGCCCGAGGCCGGCAGGTTCGCGTACGCCGCGCTCTGCGGGATTTCCCTGGCCTGGCTGTTCCCTGAAAACGAGCAAAGGTACAGCTGGAGCCGGGCCTGGGCAGGCCAGGGGGAGTTTGGGTGGAGGCTCAGCCAGAGCTGGTGGCACACTCTGTGCGGGGTCCTCTGAAGTTGGGGGAGTGGAAGAGCCTTTCTGTCTTGGCCTGTAAGGCTTTTACAGTTCAGCACAGAACAGATCTGTTAACGCTGCAGGCATCAAAGCATGTTCTGAAGCAAGGTCTAGTCCCACTCAGATTATTTCCTTGTTTATTTAGCCAGTTGGTTTAGCAATTCACCTTCATCTGACTCCTGATGCTTTGATTTTTGTTTGAACTGATGTTTGAAACCAAGGACTGCTCAAAACTTCAAAAGTTGTAAAGCCTTGAAATACCCAATTGTGAAGCCTTAACTGCTTCTGTTGCCTTACAGCTCCTTCAGGACAGAATTCATCGAGGGCTTTGTGAAGTGGCTGGACCTGCCTGATGCTGTCTTACCTGCCATGACAGCCTTTGCTGATGGCTTGGGAGGTGAGGGCACAGAAACTTTCACGGAAATTTTGCTGAAGGATCCCATCTTGAAAGAAAATCCACTTCTCATTACCCAGGTAAGTCCATGTGCTCCCCTCACCGATGTTTGCTTTGCAAAAGAGGTTTGTCATATCTGTCTGTTTGCAGCTGAAGTGATGTTTATGCAGTCAGGGAAATAAAACCAATATTTCTGATAGGCATTTATTTATAAGCAGCTGTGGGGGGACTGGCAGTATATCCATAAAGATTTCATGGAAATTATGAACATGAAGCATGGTCACTGTCTGCTGAGTTGTGTCTTTGATGGTTTCACTTTACAGAACAGAGAACTGACAGAGTTTTTACTTTGATTGTGTTACTGCAGTGGTCTCCATTCATACACTTGTTGTACAGACTTTAGTGACACCCTGAACACAGTAGACACGATTCTCACTTGTCTGAAAGCCCCTTCACTCTATATGTATCACAAACCACCTCCACACACATGCTCAATGGAGCACAATTTCCAAAGTCTTTTTCCCAGAGTACATTTTGACCAGAAGGAAATTATTGTGATTTTTTTTTCTTTCACTGAGGAAGTGAAACTGGGACTGCTCCATAATGTTCTGCTGTAAAAGCTGGTGGAAAGGTAAAAGAGGTGAAGCATTTTGGCAGCATTTGCTTTTGCTGGGGAAGATCTCTCCTCATCCAACCTCATGTTATGCCATGCAGGGTGAAGAGAGCATTAGGCTGCTGCTGGTGCCACACGGAACGTGGGCACTGTCACCGTGGGCCAGACACCCCAAGGGCACCCAGTGCTCTGATATTGGCTGAGTAAGGGCTATCACACACTCACCTTGAGCAATGGCCTGGAGAAGAGCAGATGTGAGAACTTGGCTGTGTATGGGGAGATAAGAGAGCAGTGAACAACTCTGGTCACCTTGACTGGCTCCCATTTCCTCAGCCACCTTTTTCTCTCTCCTGTCAGTCCATGAAATGCCTCAGAGGATCTGCTCCTGGTCCAAATGTTCCAGTGCCCAAAGTCCTACAACAGTACAAGGACAGCAACAGATACCTTAATCTTAATAATTTATAGCAGATCTTCTGAAATAAAAGTGCCTCTTTGGATGCTGTTTCCTCAAATTCAATACATCCACACTCATTCTTTCTGCCTCAATGTGCTTCCTGCATTGTTTCCCTCATTCTTTCTGCCTCAGGATGGATTCCCTGCATTGAGGCAGGTTTTCCTGCGTTCCTGCTGAGTTTATTAAGGATGGAATTCAGTTTGTGCTTGCTCTGAGCTTGTGCTGCAGGAGGGCTCCATGTGCGTGTGCAAATGTGGTTCTGGATCAGTAGGAGCACACGGGAGCTTGCCCTGACAGGAAATGGAGGATATCCCCTGGATTTTCATGGAATACAGAAACCATAGACAACTCTGATCAGCTGAAAGCGAAGATAAGGAATAACTATCAGTTTAATGCCACAGCAGCAATCCCTAACACAGTCATCTGCATGTGGGCAAGATGATTGATTTTGTCAGAGGAGAGGCAGAATGAAAGACTTCAGTAGAGCAAGGCAGCAGAGGTGTGTCTGGAAAAAGCCCTGGTGTGTGGCAAACATCAATGATAAGCTGAGATCAGCTTTCTCCTTCTTACCTGGAAATAAACAAGCCAGGGGACAAAGCTTTATGAATTATTGATCTTTTGCTTTATGGTTCTAGTGCTCCTTTGTATTCAGCAGCTGCTGATGCAATATTTACTGTTTATTAAGTATCTGCTTTAATTGCTCAGCATGTTCAGTGCAGGGCCTTGCTGGCACTAATGCTGCATTTTTTGAAAGCTCTTCATCTCAAAGGAGCTGAAGAGATGATCCATGAAGTCAGGAGATCAGATGTGAGCTCACCATTGATTCAGTGAACATGTGAGGATTATGGATTGTTATCTTTGTGCCTTTTGTGTCATTGCAGATGACTAACACACAGGCAGATGGTGGTAACTGAATCCTTTCAAGATAGTAGTCATAGCAAGCTATGGGTGTTGTATGGGAAGGCAATGGAATAAAAGAGGTGCAGAAGCTGTGATAGGTGATTACATGTTGAAAAATCTTATTATGAATATGTTTTTTATTCTCAGCATACTTGGAATGCCCATATTCCAGTGGTTTCCTACCCACATTCACTGTTATGTGGATTTGGGCCTCTCTGTTGTTAAGGAAGTGGGTTTTGAACTTGCATCAACTCAGAAAAAGCTGGCAAAGACTGAATAAAGACTCCCTTCTTTTGTAAGGCCTCTCAGTCATATGGGTGGTTGTCTTGTCATGGACTTTTCATGGAGATTCAAAACACTGACTTCACAATAAGGCTGCAATATAACAACTGCTGCTTAGGGAGGAAAACAAACCAGTTGTGAACGAACCTAATCACTGCTGGTAGGATTCCAGCTGCCTGCATGTGCAATACGAGCACAGCCTAAACTGCAGCCTAAATTTGAGTTTGCTAACTGGCACAGATGCCATAAAAACAGTTGTTGCAGTTTATCACCTGTTTACTTACGTGCCTCCCTGACCTTTTGAAAGGCACATGTGTACATGCTTAGGCCAGATTTACGTGGGCTGGTGTGATATGAGGTGCCACAGGTGATACTGGGCAGGCAGGACCTCAGTCACAGCCTCACTCAGGGATTTTATTGCCCACAAGCCATCACCTCTTCCAGAGGCTGCTTATGGCAGTCTGTGGAAAATTGTGGCAACAAGGTCACAAGCTTCACCTTATTCCAGACTCAAGGCCCTTTGCTTGGTCAGCTTTTTGCTCAAGGCTCCCAGCCCTGCACCTTCTGCTGGGCTTTGACATCTCTGTGCCAACCCTTGCCCCAGAAATGCACCTAGAGAAGAGATGATGGTGCCCACATCACTTGGGCACTCCCAGTACTCAGGCTTTGGGAAACCAGTGACATCCCTCCCTCTGTACTGGTACCTCCAATTCCCACACCCCACCAGCCAGCCTGGGGAGCAGCCTGCAGTTTGTCCCTTTTTTGGTTGGTTCAGGATGGTTTGTTCTGCATTCTGCACTCCTCATGTGTAGGACTCTCAGGTTAGAGACGTTTTTACTATACAAACTGTGCTTGGGAGCTTACAGGACTAATAATCATAAACTCTTTGGCAGCCTCCTACATCTTTGGCTGCATTTTTTGTGTTCCCAGAGGGCTGAAAGGATTCTGTGTAAAATTCAGCTGTGCTGTGTTTGTGTGTAGGAGAGGGAAGCAGCTCAACTGAGCTGGTGCTTAATGTAGTCACATAAAGAGCTTAGAATTTGTCCAGTGGCAATAAAAGAGGAGAACACAGTTGTAAAAACACAGGCCTCTTTTTCATGGATTTATCCATAGAAACCATCTATTGAATTGATTTGTTTTTCCTTTTTTTTTTCATGGTAAAGAGCCAACACAGGAGTCAAGTCCCTCAATCTTGACAGATGTCCATAAATTCTGAGTTTTTTAACTCACTTAATCCAAAAGAACTTGATGCCAGTTCAGCCTTACTGCCTAAGGCTGTGAATTCCCAGAATGCCAAAGAAAATAGGGGCCATTAGAGGAACATTCAAACCTGTTAGTGATGTTGCATATGTGACTGTAGGGAGCAGAAGGCATTAGAGTGGGAGCATTACAGCCCTGCTCCTCCAAACTTTAAAGTCTGGTGTAAGATCAGGGTCATAACAAAATTTAAAAAATGTGAGATGCCTTAGCATAACCAAGCATTACCTGCTTCTGTCCAGCCCTTTGTACTGGCCTTCAGAGAATTTTGGACTGCTTTTGCTCTGTGCTGCCTCACTGAATTGTAACTTTCTGCTTCCCTCTTATGAACTGAGCTGCTGCAGTAATTCAGTCAGTGTGATGGGTTTTATGCCTCAATTGTGATCCCTCCAGACCTACATCACCAATTTTAAATTGAATATTCTTTTTTTTTTCTCTCTCTTTAGGACCTTTTGTCGTTCTCTCTTCAAGATGGTAAGCTTACTTTTTCTTTGTTAAAATAATATAGTTGAGTTTACATCTGATACTTTGAAGTGCTCAAAAAGGTGCTATCCTGTTCCATCTCAGCTTCCTCTCTGGCAAAAGCTGCATACTCCTTCCCTGCATCCCCTTCAGGAAAAACAACTCTTCTTTTAGGAATGGTTCATAATACCCAATGAAAATTGAACAGCTCTTCACCTCCTTACCTTCACCCACCATCCATTGCCAAGCAGATGTAAATGGTGGTGGAGTGGGGTGGTTTTTCTCCAATGTTTCCAGGAAATCAGGTGATCTCTTTCTTTAGGAAGGCAGTAAAGCTGTTATGAAAATCTCAGCCTAAAATAGTTTCTGCTGGTTGCCTAAAAGAATAAAAAAAAAAATCAGGGTATAAATTCCAGAGTGTCCTGTGAAGCCCATTATAAATAAATGTGATTTTTCTCATATATTATATTACACATAAAACAATTCTCTGGCTTGAAATCCATTACATGGATTAGTCTGATAAAATTAATGAAATAAAGACTGCCTGCTGAACAGAATGTTCATTTCTAAAAGAAGCCTGGATTCTATCACTACTTGCATTTTTTAAATCTCCGTGTTTTAACATGTCCTCACAGGAAAGAACTCACTGGTTGCTGATAGCCTGTTGCACTGCAGAACAAAACAAGTTTTGTTCTTGCTTTATTTTTAATGGAAAATTGACAAGTCAGTTATTGCAAAACTGCTTATTTTGTGAAGCTGGAATTTAGGAGCAACCTCTTTCCAAGCCTTGCTGCCTTCCCACCAGGCTGGTGAGGAAGAACCCAGCAGTGTCAGCAGGCAGGAAGAAGAAAGGGGGCTCGTTCCACCCGCCTGGCCTTGCAGGACGTGCTGCATTTCGGGAAGCAGTGGAGATAAATCCTGTCCTCGTTTCTCAACTACGCACAAACCCGATCAAGGGTGTTATTTAAAGCTATGGAATTGATTTGGTATCTTGGTAATAATGGTAATAAATAAACAACCCCAATAGATTGCCCAATGCCCTGTTTGTTCTACGTGCAGCGGGTATCATGAACATTCTTTGTAATTGGGTCTTGCTGGTATCTTCACCCACCTTGAGAAAAATTTCCATCCCAGAGTGCACCAAGAACCCTTTATAAAAGCCAAACATCAGGAAGTAGTAGATGCTGCTGAGAAACACATTAAAAAACAAGAGTTGGCACAAATAATTTCAAACCTATGACATTTAAGATATTTTTTCTTCTAAGATGTCTTTTCTTGAAGAACACCTGCTTATAAAACCAGGAGTATTGAGTTCAGTTATCTGCTGTTGTCTGAGTGCATTCTGCATCTCCAGCAGGGAGTGTAAAAGCAAACATTTGTCCGTGGTGCTGCTGGGGGAGCTAGTGTGCAGCTTTACACCCTGAGTGCTTCTTGCTGCCACCAAAGGAGAAGATAAAGCTTTTGCATGGATTTTTTTGCATTTTTACAAAATGCCAGTTGAGGTTGGCTGTGCCCAGTTGCCCACACAGACATGTTTGATATTTCCAGTTAGCAGTGGTCCTGCTGCAGCATTTCTCTGTTGCAAAATTGCCAGCAGGCCTCTACCACAGAGGATTGAGACCAAAGGATCTGAGATCCTTTTCCTGCCACAGAGGCATTACCTGGTGTGGTGGCTCTGTTTGCAGGGAAGAAGGATTTTCCATTTACCAGTCTCTTCTCATGTTCCTGGAAGAAAAGGAGGGCCTGGGGGAAGCAGGCTGCTGTGTGACACATTCCTTGAGCACTCTGCTCCTTAACTAAACTGTGGCATCAGACTGACCAGACTGATTTCCTGGGCCTTTCTCTCCTCAAGGATCCTATGATGCTCGAGCCAGGGTGTTGATCTGCCGTGTCAGCTGGCTGCTGAGAATTCCCTTGGAAGATCTGGAAGTCCTGGAGGAATCTCTGCTTGAGAGCCTGAAGGAACAAAAAGAGGAAGAGTCAGAGTAAGAACGTTTGGGTTGATACGGGATCAAAAAACACTGCCAGTGCTCAAAAACTTAGCAGTAATTACTTGTGCCTAAGTCCAGTCTCTGATTATTCCCCACATGGCTTTTGCTGTAATCATTTATGGCTTGATTAGGGTTGCAGAGCCCTCCCAGCACTGACGAGAAGAAAAGCTCAGCATTCTTAAAATCAGAGCTGAGATCTGGCCTTGCACACTGGTAAAGGCTGTTCAGCTCTGGGCTGCCTCCTTTCCTCTCTCCAGTTGCTTCTCAGAGACTGTAGATTTTGTATAAATACCTCACACAGATCTTGTTGTCTCTTGGCCCAAAATCCTTCAGCTAGAACTGCCTCTTGCAAAATGAAGTTCCTACAGATAATCAGGGTTAGATCCTTAGCTGTTCATTGTTTCTTTAAGCATCTTTAAGAGACAGCTGGGTAACTCCTATTGAAGGGAGATTTCTGAGGGCAACAGGCTGAATCTTCAGATATGTACAGACCTGGCTCATAATTCTATTTATTAACATAGAATTCTAGTTATTAACATAGAATTAGTATTTATAATTCTTGGTAGCTATAAGAAATGCAGTGTCTTTAAATTCCTCTCATCAGGCAGGAATTGTGTGACAGTTTAGCAATATTTAAGGCAGTAAACATGTCTGTAGTGGACTTTCAAGGGAAATATTTTCTACTGTCAACTCAGCAAACAGGTTATGAGATTACCCTGAATGCTAATAAAGTCTTTAATCAACACCCTTGCCATGGCCAGATGATTACCATGGGGTCCAGCATGTGATGGGTATCTTCCAGTAAGAGCTGTGTTTAAATAATGCTTAACTTTATAGCACACTGTAAAAAGGGAAAGTCAGAATAATCTCAAAGATCGTGGACTTCTAAACATTTGGTGTGCAGGAGCAAGGGTTGGTATTAATGGGGGCTGTTTTGCTGTAGTCTGTGCAAGCAGAGTCAGTGCTGGGCCTTTAAGCTGTGTCTGATAACAGTGAAAGAACAGTGTGGATTTCAAACCCTGCTGCCAGCCCTGTGCGCTTCCTGTGTGTCTGTTGTGGGATTCCTGGCTTGTCCTCTGCACAAATTGCAGCCATGGGAGTAAATGTCTACTGGATAAAAAGAAAAGAAAAATCCTTTTGGTGAGAGGGGCCCAAGACCACAGTGTGAACACAGTTTTGTTGCTGTGCTTAAACAAGGCTGAGATCTGTGGGGAACTGATGACCCTTTCTTTGGTTTGAAATCAGGAGTCAATGGGGAAAGGAAGCAAAATATAAACCTGTCACCACCCTGACCTCACAGATTTTGGGGCTAGGAATACCATTATGTGCTTGGGATGCTTCCAGCTTTGACCAGCAAGAGGTTTTGGAACAGAAATAACCAACCAGGGGTTTGGCAGCTCCTGCACAGGTGTTTTTACTGATATTTGTTAACAGGAGATTTGCTCCTGCCTTTGCTGATGTGGATTTGTTGGATTGAGGCCCAGAACCTATGAGATTAAATGTACAATACTCTAAAGAATAATGCTCAAAATACTTAAACTGTGTTAGTTAAACCAAATGTGCTCTGACCTGCAGGTGAGAACCTTTCTTTTGTACACAGTTCTGTAAGAAACTGGAAAACATCCCAACATTCACTTGTTGATGTGTGCTCCTGCACCTTTCCTTATTGGTAAAATCACCTGAAATTCCCCATAACAATCTCTCTGAATGTAATTTGTGATTCAGGCAAGAAGCTGCACATCTGAGCTCAGTGAGGGTAGAGAAATACCAGCAGCAGCAGTTAATTACCAGAGTGGATAAAGGCAGCCTGGTAATCCAGTGATAATGGTAATGGAGGAGCCATTAGGAAGCAGTGACAGGCAGAACTTCTCCTTTTATTTACTGCATCAGCAGGCAGGATTTAGCTGCCACTCTCTTTGTCCCCACATAACTCCAACTGCTCATTATTCCAACTGACTCCAAGTTAGGCCTGTTCCAGCTCTCTTGTCATTATTGTCAGCCTGAGACACACTGCAGTGACTGTAAAAGCTGATGAAGCTCATGTAGAACAGAAATTGCCAGCTTAGGTATGAACAGCCTGGCTGCAGCACTCCTATAAAGAACTCCAGGAGCAATTTTATCCAAAGCCAAGCATTCAGACTGGTGACTAAGGCACAAAGTAGAGCATTTGGAAAGGATGAGAGGAAATGGCCTCAGGCTGTGCCAGAGGAGGTTCAGGTTAAATCAGGAGGAATTTCTTCATGGAAAGGGCTGTTAGGCATTGGAAGGGGCTTCCCATGGAGGTGGTGGAGCCCCCATCCCTGGAGGTGTCCAGGGAACAACTGGGCATAGCACTCAGTGCTCTGGGCTGGGTGACAGGGTGGGTATTGGACACAGCTTGGACTTGATGGTCCTGGAGATCTCTTCCAACCTCAGTGATTCCATGATTCTCTGATAGCCAATTCCTGCTTTGTCTGTGGGGCTGTAGAAGTAGCTGTGGCTGTGCAGAAATTGGAGAGGTGTTGTTCTCAGTACAAGATAATGCAGCAATTAATACTGAGTGTCATCATGTAGCATCTACAGGATGGCCAGGGTATCAGAGCCAGCCAGCAGGGGTTTAGGAGGGGTAGGTTGTGTTTGACCAGCCTGATCTCCTTTAATGACCAGGTGACCACCTGGGGGATGCAGGAAAGGCTGTGGATGTGTCTGTCTGGACTCCAGCAAGGCCTTTGGCACTGTGTCCCACAGCACACTCCTGGGAAAGCTGCAGCCATGGCTGGGACAGGAGCACTCTGAGCTGGGCTCAGCCCTGGCTGGATGGGCCCAGAGAGTGATGGTGAACGGGGCTGCATCCAGGCACCAGTGGTGTCCCTCAGGGCTCTGTGCTGGGGCCAGCTCTGTTCAGTATTTTTATTGATGGCATGGATGAGGGGATTGAGTCTTTCATTAGTAAATCTGCAGATGACACTAAGCTGGGAGTGTGTGTCCATCGATTGGAAGGTATGAGGGCTCTGCAGGGAGACCTGGAATGATTAGGCTGAGTCTTAACAGGATGAAGTTTAATAAATCCAAGTGCTGAGTTCTGCATTTTGGCCACAATAACCCCCTGCAACATTATAGGCTGGGGATGGTGTGGCTGAACAGTGCACAGGCAGAAAGGGACCTGGGGGTACTGCTTTGTGATATTTTCTGAAAAATCCTTTCCTTAGGATTTTTCCTCCTGAGAGGCCGAGAGGCCTCAGGAACAAAATGTAAACAATGGTTATCTGCTGCTGTGGAATGCAACAGGTGCATCTGGGATTGGTCTCATGGGGTTGTTTCTAATTAATGGCCAATCACAGTCAGCTGGCTCGGACTCTCTGTCCGAGACAGAAGCTTTTGTTATCATTCTTTCCTTTTCTATTCTTAGCTGGCCTTCTGATGAAATCCTTTCTTCTATTCTTTTAGTATAGTTTTAA